GTAGTAATAATATATATATATATATATATATATATATATATATATACACATACGACGCTCTGGTAATAGGTCTGAGGCCGAAATCGCGATTCCACGAAGTGGAAGGGGAGCACGGAGGTGAAAGGAGCAGGCAACAACTCTGGAGGAGTGGATCGAACGCCATCGGCCGACGGCGGCCATGCTTGCTAACTCGGCGTTAGCAAAGTCGTTTCCATCTTTGAACACGTTTCCCATGACCTCCACGATCGGGCAACCCTTTCACGATAAAAATCCAAAACTCGTCGCACTTATCCAATGCTAGAAATCGATAAACTTTTACGACATTGGTTATAGGCTAGGTTAGGTTGGGTTAGCATTGTTTTTTCTTTTTTTTTTTGTTTTCGATTTTTCTCCAATACGATTACGACAGATTTTTTCGTTCGTCGAATGGGAAGCGTTTATATTTTATAATTTTGTGGATTCGAGTTGTTGTACAAGTTTGTTACACTCATTTGTTAGTTAGGCCGATATCGAAATTCGAATAATTCTCTCTGTTCAATCCTTTCCACCAATTGGAAAATTTATCCCTTCGTCCTCTTATCTTATCTTATCATGTATACAAAATAACAATCTCCTTTACACAACAAATTGGCACAAAAATAATTTACGATTATGATTCTTTCGTAAAGAAAAAAAATGCCAGTCTTTTTACCAAAAATTCCATCGAATTTAAATTTTACGTAGAAAAATTGTACAAAGTGATAAACCGAAAGTGAAACAGAAGATCTTAGGCTACCGCGTCCGAGAAGAGAGAAAAAAGAAGAGGAAAAATGACGGTCAGCCACGTTCGAATCGTGCGCGAACCAAAAACGTTGTAAAAACGTTGTTAGTCGTAATACACGCACACACGCACATCCTATCCTATTTTTCTCGCTGCGCGAACAAACCGCCATAACCGCCCACCTACTCGCCGCGCACCCCTGGAACAATCCTCCCCCTCCCCTCCCCGCCCCTCGCCACGCCACGCCACGCCACCTCGTCCCATTTTTATTCAAATTCATCGAGGAACTCATCGACCGAGATGGAGCCAGCCAATTTACCGAGCCCAACTTTTTTTCTTCTTTCTTTTTTCTTCTTCTTTCTCTTCTTCCTTTTTCTTCCTCTCCGTTCGTTCGTTCGTTCGTTCGTTCGGGCGAACACGTCCATCCCCTCGAGTTTCCATAAATTTTGGATTTTATTTCGGCCAGCCAACCGGGTTGCAACGTTTCTTAACCGCGGTTATTTTATCTCCCCCCGAGACGCCATTTTGTTGAACGAAACGGTAATAAAACTGTCCTCGACCGTTGCTCGAGAAAAAAAAAAATTGAATTTCCGAACGCGTGAAGGGATAATTGTTTATCATACGAAAATCTAATTTTCCAAAACATTCTTTCTTCTTCTCAATTTTTCAATTTTTCGCATACGAAAGTTTCATTTCTCGCTCGCGTTCACAGGAATGAAAAAAATCCATCCTGTAAATTCGGATCGAGTCGAGGCGAATGTCCGAGGGAAAGGAAGGAACCTATAAAACCGATTCCTTTTCCGAGGTGGAAAAAAAACCCTAGTCACGTTTCACGAGAACGCGTAAGATTAACGATTTCCAACGATCCTTCCGCGCAAAGGGCGTCCAGAATTATTGGATTTAATCAAACGCGTGACTTTTGTTTCGTTGCCGCACGAAACTTCGTTAAGGCAATTTCGTTGAACGAAAGGAAAACCGTGCTCCAACTATCAACCGTTTCGACGAGTTTTACGACGATGCGCACGCGTGTTATTTTACTCGTTTTCACGCGTCACGTTGTTATGCTTGTGCGAGATCGATGAAAAGAGCGTGGTAGGTGGACGATTATTGTTTATTTGCTGTTCTTCCATTGTTTATTGGTGTCGTTAATTATTTGTATTATCGTCGGACAGATCGGTGGACAGATTATTGGATCAGCGTTACGTTACGTTATTATTGTTCGTGGATAGGTTAGGATTTATTAGTTTTGGTTATTAGTTTACTGGCGGCGCTAACATCAAGCTGTTCGATTAATAGCGAGCACATATAATCTCGATATTTAAATACGTGCTCGAATCGAAGTTTCAAGTTATCATTGTCGTTGATATTATTTGTCGGTGGATCGATTTGAATCAAATTTAGGATTACTATTGTCGTTGTTATTAACGTTTTATCATCGATACGCAATCTGTTTTAATTCGTCTCACGTTCGAATTGAGGTTATTATTATCGTTAACATTATTAATTATTTTCCAGTGGATAGCATATTCCGTTTGAACTATTATTATAATTATTGCAATTGTTGTTAGCTTTTCTCAGGATCACTACTTCGTTGCTACTTTGTTACTGATATCATCACGACAGTGTCAAGGTTTAATTACGTAACCAATGGACGCAAAATCTTTTTAATATTGCGTCACATTCAAGGTTTGCAATTGTTATTACCGTAATTGGGATCGTTGTTATCGGTGTTATTACCTATTACAGCAAATGATATTGATATTTGAATTAAATTTAGCATCACCTAGTTATTCCTACTTTATTGTCGATATATATATATATATATATATACATTACGGTGGCGCTGGCGTCGAGCTTCGATCATTCAACCAACGAATCGAACACGTTTGCTCCCTCGCGATTGTTCGAATCAAGATTCACGGAATTATTTTCTCGTTTCGTTATCGACAACAACACCTACTATACCGTAAAGGGGAGGAACGAGACAAAGAGGGTCAAAATCCTTGGAAAATTTCAAATTCAATCTTCCATCTTTTTTAAAAAAAAAAAAAAAAAAAAGAAGAAGGAACGTAAAAATGTAAAAAGAAGTCATCAAACTCACTCACCTTCCGGCTGAGACGACAGGGGCGAAGAGGCGGATCGACGACGTTGCACCGGCGTCGCCGAGCGTCGCGACGCTTGCAGGGCCGAGGGAGGGGATGCCCTTTTCCCTTCCAAGGGTTTCCACGGGGCGAACGGCTAGTCCATGCCGTCTCGTTTTCCAGCTGCTGAAACATCCAATGCACGTTCACGCGTTTTCCAACGTGGCCGCCGGCCAAACACATCGGATATTCTTCTCTCTCCTCGCGATCCTCCTCCTCCTCCTCCTCCTCCTTCTCTCCTCCTCTCCCTTTCCAAAACCAGCGAATCGCGCGCTCACTGTTTCGTTCCTTCTAAAACGTCTCTTCCTTCCTTTTTTTTTTTCGTTCCTTCGCACACACTTTCGTTCAACCCCTCGAAAATTATCCACGAAAAGTCCACGTCCACGGATTTCTCTTATCGTTCTCGATTATCGAAATTATCGAACAAAAACAAAAGTTTCGAGCTCTCGAGAGGAACGAAAAAGAAACAGCGTGTCTGAAAACATCTCTCTCTCTCTCTCTCTCTCTCCGCGACTCGGATCGATCCTTATCGCACTCACCACTACTACTACTACTACTACTAGTCTCTACTACGTCTTACATCACATCCTTCTCCCTCTTCCTACCGCCAAATACGAAATAATACACGAAATAATAATCCACGAGACAGAAACGCATCTCTTCTCCCCTTCCTTCCTTCCTTCCTTCCTTCCTTCCTCCTCTCTCTCCCCGTGCACGAAACGGAGGGAAACAACCGATTCCCTTTCCTCCCCTCCCCTTCCTTCCCCTTCCCTTCCCTTTCCCCAAAAAAAGAAGAGGAAAAAGAAAGCTGAGAAAGAAAGAAAGAAAGAATGAAAGAAAGGAGAGAAGATGAGGGGGGCGATGAGAAGAGCGAACCGCATCGCACGACGAGATCGAATGGCCAACGATCGAGAGACAGACGAGCGAGGGAAGATCACGGTTGGAACGCGTACGGCCGTTGCATCGCGAAGTTTCGACTGCCGCGGCTCGCCTGCTCGGCGGCGGCCGCCGCACGGCGCGGGCCACGCGGCGAGGAGAGGCCA